TGTATTTTTATCCTTTGGAAAAATTAATCCTGAAAGTTGTACCACTTAATTGTTGGCAAGTACCGTGACTCGGAAATAAATACCGTACAGAAACCTTGTTACCACTCACAAAAGGTTAGTTACTATTTCAGAATTTTGAGCATCTTCCAAATAAATAAAGCCATGGCAAATTATATGTTCTATCTCCCTTTCAAGAAAATAAATAGGCAAACCACTTTGAAGCTTCAGACAGCATACAGTATATTAATCAAATATAGTTCTCATACAGCTATATTAAAATGAGAAAAAAAAATCCACGATTCTTACCAAAAACAAAGTAATTTTAAGGTAAACCAATATAAGAAAAGTTAGGGCTTTTATTGTTAACTCAGACTGTTGTGTCACTGTATATATTGTTTGTTCTAAGATGTCTGCAATATTCCAGAACAATATGAATTAGGAGTGAAATAAAAGCCATAAATCTGCATTTCTAACACATGATGTTTAGTTTACTGCTAGACGTCCCTTTCAAAATAAAACAAACATTTGTCTCAAGCCCGCACCTAAAACCCTATTGACACTTACAGTTCTAAGAAATTTAAACGAAAAATTTGGAGTCCCTTAATGTTGTTCCTTCCCGACACAGCAAACACATGGGCTTCTTGAGAATCTGATATAGAAACTACTTCTTTATTAGATGTTGTTTCTTTTCTCAAATATTTGGCAGACTTCAGAGTTTCTGATAGTACCTGTTAGCCAGTCTTTTGGAGCCCTCGAGATTCTTGCTAATTGGAAACCATACACAAACCTTAGTCACAAACCCCTGGCTTGACCCTGCAGTCATCAGCTTGGCACAGGGTCTCCCCTTGATTTTCACCAAAAGACGTGGTACTATCTGCTGTTCACTGCTTTGGTGTGCTGCTGCCAGCTCCAGGCCAGTCATCCACCACTCACTTGGGACTGTTGCTCTTGGCCAATATCACCTTAAATAGCGTTTGAACAAATTACCCGATACAGTGCAATGTTCTGGTTTGGAGCCTCTATTGCTGGACTTAGTGTCCAGTGGAAAGCAAGGTGCTATGGGCTTGTCTATGTTGCAAATTGCACCAGTTTTAATAATGGTGTGGTTTTTTTAATCCAATTTAGTTAAACTGGTTCAAGTTTGTGTGCAGACAGATATTTCAGTTTGTGTGGTTTATTTTGATTTAGCTTAATCCTGTTTAAAATAAAAGATTCAAACAGATATGAGAGCAAGGACTCTTAACGCCTTGTCTACACACATTGTGAGCACCACTTTTAAATTTATTTAGTTAAATCTGTAAAACCCTTTGGTGTGAACACTCTTATTTTGGATCGAGTACCCTATTTTGTTTTTTCTTAGGACTCAATTTAAACAAAATTGAAATAGGGCACTCTGATGTAAAACAAGTGTCTGCTCCACAGAGTTGCACTCATTTTAATTAATTTGTCTTTTAAACTGACTTTGTTAAATTGGTTTTTAAATTTTGCATAGACCATCCGTAAGTCAATAAGTGTCTTTCTATTGACTTCTGTGGCCTTTGGATCAGCCTGTTTATCACCTCTGATCAGCTACCCAATTTGAGCTCACTAATTATTAGAATAGGGTGTCCAACTTTCCTCATGTTGTACCTTTTCATGTATTCATGTATTCTTTCATTATAGAAGGATGACAGCTCTGCAATAATTAAGGTTAAGACCAGGTTTCTGTTTTAAAACTCTGCTTTCCTAAGTGATCTATAATTTATTTTACACGGTTAATTGGATTGCCTTGAAATTTGGTATGCCTCATGGGGCTCTGGGTTTCTGTTAGCATTCCAACTCTGGGGCTGGTGGACCTACGGGTTCCCGAGATACAGTCCCCGGAAAAATAACTTTTCTTAGAGTTGAGAGATTCTGGCAATCTTTTTTGCTCACAGAGATCAAATGAGGGCTCAGAGTATTGCACCAGGCTGTCCAATGCTCTAGGGTTACCCCAACAGAGTGCATGACATCCACTAGTCCTTTGGAGGAAAGCAAATTAAAAAGTTATTGGAAACAGATTTTGTTTTTTCCATTTAGAGCATCCAAAGCCTCGCATGTTCAGTGATGCGCTAAAGGAATTACATTGCACATGTGCAGTGAGAGAGGCTATCTATCTAGAAAATGACCTCTTTCTCACAGAACCAGCATGGCCCAATTGAATTTCAGAATCACATCACTGAGTTCAAATCCAACCCAGGCCAGAAATCTGAAGTACAAAAAAAGCAGGAATATTGCTCCACTCTGCCTTTATCAAGGGGGGTTTTTATTTTGGGAACTGTAATCTGAGTACAGCAGAATATTCAGAAGGCACAAACAATTTTTTTGAAAACAAAATAAACTAAATAAACACATGCTCACTGGGAGGGAAAGGTGATTGGGGTGGAAGAGTGGATGGGAATGGTGGGGAATCAAGTGATGGGAAGAGGATGGAGAGTGTGAGGGGAGGGGTCGGGAAACTGGGAAGGACATGCGGTTGAGTGACATAGGGACTGGGGGAGAATAGGGGCAGGGGTACCTGTCAGCCCTTCATTTCCCTCCTGTATGTGTGCCACAATCTGCGATCCCCTAACCCATTTAACCTCCCATTCTCTGTCCCCTCATATGAACCCAGGTACTGGAGGGGAATTGCCTTTCTGGTTGGATCTAAGCCCCACTCCATACCCCCTATGTGAGCTGGAATCTGGGGGACCTTGCTCTTCTTGGGGTATATGAGCCCCTCTTCCTGTCCCTCTGTGTGAGCTTGGATTGGGGCAGGGAGGGGGCTGAAGGAAAAATAAATGTAAACATCTAAAATCTAGAAAATGAATATTTAATATACACCTCACTGTTGTGTGAGATTGGATGCCCAGTGTTGAGGAGGAGCGAACTGGATGGACCTGCGGCATAGCTGGGGAACCTGGTTGAACCAGGGGCAGGAGTCCCATATGGGGGCAGGTAGTGGGAATGAGGAGCCCAGCTCAATATGCAGCTGAGTCTACTTAACTAAGGTAGCATGCAGCCACTAGTCGTCTCTCACACACTTAAAGTTACTGAAACCATCATGTAGTAAAACTGTCAAGGTTTTGGGGCCTAGACCATGGGTGAGAGTTCTCTCAATAGCCCTGTTAGCAAATACACATTGCAAGCATGTCAAAGCACAACCATTATCCCCATTCCACTGTAACAAAATGTACAGGAGGCGTGAGGAAAACTCAGGAGTCACATAGCAACCATGTGGTCTATTGAAAAAACTACTGGATTGGGACTATTCCTAGCTCTGCCACTGGCCTGCTAGGTGACTCCCTTCTCTGTGCCTTAGTTTCCCATCTGTAAAATACTTTGAGATGAAAAGCCCTATATGAAAGCTGAGTCTTTTCATTATTACCTAGCCGCAGTAGTATATCCTCTGCAAACCTAGGTGAGAAATAGAACTGTCTAAGTGACTATTAGCTCCTACCAACAAACATTTCTCTTTCTTTTGAAAGAGCTAGGAAATTAAATGCCAAAAAACTTGGTTAATGCAGCATTAAGGTTGCTGGGTAATAGCTTGTGCCTTTTCAGAACATCAAATTCAGCAAAACTCAAACTTTTGAAAATCAGGAAATACAGAGTTAAGGTAACTCCTATGCAACCTTAACAGTGCCCTCTTTGAGCAATGTCCCACAATGCCTATAACACACATATTCCCACTCTGCTTCTTCACTTTAATGGATGGGCGCTAACTGCACTTACCATATATAATCACAGTTGTTCTAAGCTCCAACTTATTCCTCCCCCATTCAATACAGTTACACTCAAATGTGAATGTATCTGGAGTGCATGTAGACCATTCCCAGTGGCTATTGGAGGCTCTGAGGGCAGAGTTAAGGTTGTGTGGGTGTTTACCTTAACCCTGTATTTCCTGTCTTCAGAAGTTTGAGTTTTGCTGAACTTGACATTCTGGAAGGGCAGAAGCTATCACTGGACACCCTTAACTCTGCATTAACTAAGATTTTTGTCATTTAATATATTTAGTTCCATAACCAATTTAAAATGCATTCCTATGAACAAAATGTAAAGAAATTCCAAATAATAGAATTTAAAAACTTTATAAAACTAACTAGAAGCAGGTGATAATTATGCTAATTAAACCTGTTAGCAGGTAACAGCCCTTCAGTTTTCTTCTCTTCTCCTGTAGCCAGAGAAATTGTTTCCTGTAAGCCCCCTAGTTCTGTGGTTTATGTAGTAATACCTTCCTTATAGGGGGTACTGTGATGCATAATTTGCTAATGTTTGTAAAATCACTTTAGGTCCTTGACTTAAAAGTGATATAGAGTGTGTTTTGTGTGGTTTCCTTTTTATGTGCATTTTGTTTGTAACTGAAGAAGGAACAGACTTTGCAGGTCACACTCTTAGCTGTTTTATTTCTGCAGTGTTAACAGGAGTGGAAAGCAACATAGAATAATTTTTGTCATGAGTATAGGCAGGCATGATGGAATGCACACAGGGAGCAGACCTGCTGATTAAGAATTTGCCATTTTTATTTAGTCACTTTCCAAAGCAGACCACATTTTCTGTTAAGATTCTATTTTTGGAAAGGAAATTTAAGTATAAAACACAATGTAAGTGGGAACCTCATGAGGTCAGCACCTTTGAAAATCATTTTTTTTAGATTTGATTTATAAATTGCTTTCCAATTGTGCAGAAATCAGTGTAAGTCACTGTCCTCTGTAATTTTTGGAACACAATGATTTACTTGAATATACCAGATACCCTCAAGGGCTGTCACAATTACCATAGAATAAACAATATTTAAAGGGTGTTTCTGCAGATTAATTTAAAACAAGCCACATTATATAGTTGAGGGAGAATTTGCAGAACGTGCTTTGCATAGGAACTCTAATGCCTACGTAGAGCCTGGCCATCCATGTTCATTGACACAGACCACTGAGAAATGTTGAAAGCTCACCTCCTTAGTGTTTCTGCAGCATCTGATTCTAATTTGAACTTGTGTTTTATAGCTTGAGACAATTGGATGGCAGCTTAACCTTCAGATGGCTCAGTCCACCCAAGCGAAACTGAAATCTCCTCAAGCTGTATTAGAACTTGGAATGAGCAATGAAGATTCAAAGGTAGGAAAGCCACTGCCTGGCAGAGTGAACGTATGCAATTTTTTAAAGAATTATAATTTTAAGGTTCTTAGACTATAACTAGCTCTACTGATTGTCACTAATCTCACAGCAGTGTTTTTACTTATTTTTTTAAAGGTAATTTAATTTAAGCAAGTGGAATTAATAAAGAATTGGCATGTTGTTATTTGCATTAAATAGGTTTTGGGATTGAATGTCATATAAGCAGTTCTTTGTACTATAAAGATATTGACAGTACATGTCATGGGGTATAGTTATTTTATAATATGTACCTCATGATTGATAACTCTTACATATTTTGCACCTGGTTTTCCTCTGCCTTCTACTTTGTTTTCATTTATACTTTGCAAAGTAGGGCTGAGATTTTTATCAAATCATTATGCATGTGTTCTAAGACCACTATACAGGTGTAAATGACAGTGGAGAGCCAGGGTCTTTACACTTTTATTGTACAACCCTAACTAGCATGCGGTTTTTAGCCACTGGTATAGCTACACTGGGACAGCCACTGGTATAAACATGCTGCACCAATGTAAACCTTGGGTTGTGCTGGTGGCTTTTACTTCAATTTGAAACGGACATGCTCCGTCAATGGAAGCCACTTTTTACATTTATGTTGTATTTTTTGCTAGTGGTTTGAACTGAACCAATACAGTGGTGGGTAAACCTTAATATAGGCAAGGTCTGACTAATCTAGAAAGTAAATTTTAAAAATCCTAAAGTAATACAAATAATGTTTTGTTTATGCTTGAATAGTAAGATCTACTGGGTTTGCATATTTTAGGATAGAATTACTTCACCTTGCCAGTGGAAAGTAACCTCCCCCCAATTTTTGTGGTCTCTACCTTAATCTGTGTTAGTGAAAAAGTAGATTTTAAAAAAAAGGAGGAAAATTTTGATTCAAGGGACCTGATTCTGCTCTCAGATCATCTTTAAACCACAGTAATTCCACTAACTTGAATAGAGTTACTCCTGACTTACACTGGAGTAAATAAGGAGATTTAGGTCCTTGGTCGTCTTGGTGCCTTAAACTGGCGCCTGTAACAGAGTTCTTTGTTCTTAGAAAAAACAGTAGATTACCTGAGGGTGAATTTTAAAAACCTTAATACAGAAAGCAGATAGCATTTTGTATACAAGTCGTAATGAGCAACATATGTAAAATGCAGCTACAGAAAATGACTAAAAGAAAAACATGCCCATGCTGCTATAAAGGAATATTCCTTCTTAATAATAGTTTCTATTGAAGTTTTGTTGTTGTTTTGATGATAAGAGTATGTAACCCTTTTAAAAAAGAAGTGAATTCATTAAGATTTTGTACATTATGTCAGAAAGAAAGAATGGATCCTAATGCATCCAACCATGCCACCTTGAGCTATGGTTTGTTCCTATATTAAAGTCACGTGGTCAGGCTTGGTCATTACTTAAGTGGGAGATCACTAAGTGAAATGCAGGTGCTACAGGTACTTGCATTAGTGAATCAAGTGAAGATCTTTTTGAGGAGGCGCAGAACCAATGCGAATGCTTTATTTTAGTGGAGGACTGTACTGTTGGATATGCTAATTTTTGGTTGAGATGTAAAACCAGGGTCATGTTTGTAGTCATTAAAGACCCTGTAGCACTTATCACAAGAGTAGGGTGATAAGGCTTTGTCCTGGCCAAATTCAGACCTGCATAATTATATTCTTCTTGTTTAAATTCTTCCATAAGAAACTGCATATTGTATTCTTTTTCAATTTTGTGCTAAAATGTTTTGTAGCCAATGTGATCAGCTGCAGGATTAGCTGCAATTCAGTGGTGACCAAAGTGATTATATAGTTAGACTATCAGTTATTAGTGTTATAGTGATTAAAATGTATAGACCATTGATTGACTGTATTTGTGGTTTGATATTAAAAATGTTCTGGAGACCAAATGACCAAAGTTAGCAAATTTATTGCCTGAAGATAAAATAGTACAATACATTAAGGAGGTCTACACACTACTCCCTCTGGGAAGCTGGTTTTCACAGCATGCAGCTCACTTTACACAGAAAGTGTGCTTCAAAACTACCAGACCTGTGTACAACTTAGAAAGCACTGTATATATTTCACCCAAGACTAAAATTCACCAATCACTTTTTTTTTACCTTTTTTTACCAGTCCCTTCCATCATAAGGGCACCTGTTCCAACCCCCCCCAGAATGAACACACACACACACACACCAGAGGAGTACAATGAATATAGGAAAGGGAAATATTTATTTACAGAGGGATGAATGGAGGGAAACAACAGGAAGGGAAAAGATAGGGGAAGCGATAAAACTGGGTTACATTCAACACAAGCCCCCACAGGCCACGGTCTGAAAGGGCGAACACCAAGCAATGCATCTGCAGAGCTGGCGCTTGGGGAGGGGGCAGCATGCGGAGCCCCCTGGCTGCCCCTACACGTAGGACCCAGAGGACATGCCACTGCTTTCGGGAGCCACACAGAGCCACATCAGCCAGGGAGCCTGCCTTAGCCCCGCTGCGCTGCCGACTGAACTTTTAACGGCCCGGTCAGTGGTGCTGACTGGAGCCGCCAGGGTCCCTTTTTGACTGGGTCTTCTGGTCGAAAACTGGACACCTGGCAACCCTAGGTCCATTCCTTGTCACCCATTTCAAGCTTCTGGCAAACAGAGGCTAGGGACACCATCTCTGCCCATCCTGACTAATAGCCATTGATGGACCTATCCTCCATGAATTTATCTAGTTCTTTTTTGAACCCTGCTATAGTCAACCTCCCCACTTAACTAGCTACAGCTTTCTTCCTTATTCCCAATGCAAACTCACAAGCCCCAGTACTCAGAGCCCCATACCACTCTCGGCAGTAGTAATACTGGGTCCAGCTCCGGTTTGTCCTTTTCGGGAGATTCCTCCCTACCACAGTGCTCCTCCTGGCTCCTGTCTTGGGATGTCTCCGGTTGGCCGCTCTGTCCCTCCCAGGCTTCGGGCAGGTTCTCGGCTTCTTCACTCTGGGAGGGCCTGGAGCGCAGACACGCACCCTGTTGCTCTCCCTCTCTCTCTTCTTGCCTCCCCCCCCCTCCTGCCCCAATCCCCCCAAAACAAAACAAAAATAAAACCAACAACAAAAACCAGCACTCCCTCTTCCTGGAACAATCAACACTGCCCCCCTTAGTACAAAGATTTAAAAGGGCCATGCTCTCTAAACCCCAAAGGGGTTACACTTGTTTTTCTGCTACCATGGTGTACCTTTTCTTATTTCTGTTTTGGATACCATATTCCAGCCTAGGATACCTACTGTCCTGTGTTAGGACACAGAATCAATGGATCTTGCCTTTGAGAGGTATTATATTCACTAATGCCAAAAGCTATGTTTAGCTTTTGCAGAGTATTGTGGGATATATATTACTTGACGTAAGTGAGCAAAGTGAACAGAATTGTAGGAAAGACCTAATATAATTTGGTTAACATATCTGCCCACATGCTGGGTATAATACTTAATATAGCATGCCCTACCCCTAACATACATATATTGGCTAATAGTTAAGACTGTTAAAAGTGTGTATGCAGATGTTTATATCTTTGCAGTGTTGTGCACAGTATTTCCACCTGTGAAGTGTAGGACCAAATATGTTTGTGTGCAATTTTATGCATGGGCACTTAGAAGTTGAGTGGAGGCCCAGCTGAAAGTTTTTTCCCATGTGTACAGTGGATTCATTTTGACTTTTTTGTAATCGGTATACAGTATTTTCAGGGTTTAAAATAGAGAATTCAAGCTCTAATTCTGGCTTTCATAGATTTGGCATTAGACAAGCCACTCTATTCCTTTGCATCAGTTTCTAGCTATAAAAATATAAAGACAAAATCCTTATCCTTTGGGTTGTTCATTGACATTAGATTCCTATGGAACCAGTCTGCCTGTGTGATGTATCTGTTGAAAGCTCAAGCCATATATATCAAAAGTGGCTTTTTCCGCCCCTGCCTGGCCATGTAGTGACATATTAGTATTTACCGATAGATCATGTGGTTGTTGTTTTTTTTTTTTAAA